CACCCCCTCCCCGGGGCTGTGCTTGGCATGCAGAGGTTGGGGGGTCTTGAGTTTTTGTCCCCAGAACAATGGCTGAGTGGATCCTGGAGAAAAGACAAACCCCCCTCACGCCACTGCCTCCACCCTGTCTCACAACTAAGAGTGCTTGTCAGCCTCCAGCTGGCAGGCGCTGAGGACCCAACCTGCACGCACCTTGATATCAGACCCCTGGCTCCAGAGCCTTGTGGAATAAACTTCTGCCGTTTCACCCCCCACTGTCTGTGGTACATGGATAGCACAGCCCTAGAAAACCAGCAGATAGTGAGCTCCCATCATAGGAGGTATTCGGGCAGGGGCACTGTAGAAGGAGCAGCCCTGGGGACTCCAGCAGTGTCTCTGATTCTTCCCAGACCGTTAGCCCTGGGGCATGGCCTCCTTCACCCCTGAAGGCCCAGGGCAGACAAGCCCAAAGGGACATAGCAGCCAAGAGGAGGTGCTGGGGGGCCCAGGGGTCCTTCTCCTGCCACAGAGAGGGGTCCCAGCGCCGCCTCAGCCCTCCCCACTTGCGGGCTTTTGTGTTTGGAGAGACCGAGGTTTTACGCTTATTGGATGCCTCTGTGCCGCATATCTGCACCATGGCAGGGGAGGAAAGGCCAGGGGCACACGAGTACCCTCCTTCCCGCCCTCACCCCACAGCTGAGGGGACCACAGCAGACAGATCCCCACACCTTCAGGGGCCCTAGGGACCACAGGGGAACCCTCCTCAGATGACATGAGACCCCCAGCATTCAAAACTTCCTGAGATCTGGCCCCAGCTGTCCCCTTTCCAGGGAAACAAAGGCACGTCTGGCACCCCCGCCCCAGCCAGCCTCACTGAGCACGGGGGCCACGGGCGGCTCCTTACATGCACTGCTCCTCAGTTCCCAGAGTCCTCACACTCCAGCTGAGACTTTTTAGCTTGAACTTTTTTTCCCAGTGAAACCGCAGAAGCCCAACAGAAACGTGAAGACCAGGCCGCCTCCCCAGGCTCCTCAGGGACCTCTCCCTGCTGAGGGAAGGGGGCACGTGGGCCCACCTAATCTTGGTCATCTCAGCTAAAACACTGAATCACCCTCGACCCCTTAGCAGGGGACAGGAAAACTGCAGAGGGTGCAGAAGCCCCCATCACCATCACGTCCAAACACAAAACACACAAGTTGAATCAGCAGGGTGCTGACATCGGAGACGCAAGCAGAAACCCTCTTACAGGAGGTTCAAGGCCGGGCGCGGTGGCTCATGCCTATTATCCCAGCACTTTGGGAGGCCGAGGCGGGTGGATCATGAAGTCGGGAGATCAAGACCATCCTGGCCAACATGGCGACACCCTGTATCTACTAAAAACACACAAAAAATTAGTCAGGCTTGGTGGTGCATGCCTGTAGTCCCAGCTACTCAGGAGGCTGAGGCAGAAGAATCACTTGAACCCAGGAGGCAGAGGTAGCCGTGAGTCGAGATTGCACCACTGCACTCCAGCCTGGGTGACAGAGCGAGAGTCCGTCTCAAAAACAACAAAAGGTTTGAGAATGTCAGACAAGGCGGCACGCTGAGCAGACGCTCAGGCTGGGCAGTCTCTCTTGGGGGAGGG